TTGCCGGACACGAAAAAAGACAAAAAAAAAAGAAACACTTGCTAAAGCATTAATTAAGAGAATACTAATGTGTAGCTACACCTACAGGAGATCATTAGTACATCAGATAGACATATGTTGTGTACTCATTTACCATTGAGTTCATCAGCTTCTATTGGATTATGAATTATCATGTATTCATTCATAATTAGTAATCATTTACTAACACCATAATAAGATTTGGCTTCCCACTTTTATATCTTACCAATTTTTAAATGTTGATCTGAGAAATTTTTTCGAATTATAAAATCAGTACACACTTAGGACAGAATATCCAGCCAGCAGCATGACAATCAGGCAAGTAGAAGGAAGGAAATAGCCCACTGTGTTTTTATCTGTGAGTTTGGAGTGGATTCTTAAAAATGTAATTCTTATCAGAGTCATATATAATTTTTGTATGAATTCTTAATTGGTGTTTTTAGTATATGTATTTTGTCATGTTTACGCTCATAAAGAGGGTTTCTAATGACTGCAGGATACTCCCATTACCTGATATTTCTATTCCTTAGTCATATTTAATTCTTACTATCTAATGGGGGCTTGGCATATAGTAGATGCTCAGTAAGTGCAGCATGTGTTGAATGAATGAGTTTGTAGAGATCCCCAAGGACTTTGATTGAAGGGGGAGCCTGCCTGTATGGTCTGAAGGCACTGGTGGTGGAGGTGACGATAATATCATCATCCGTAGCCATCTGTGCCAGATACAGTTTTAAGTGCCTCATATCCATATTTCTCTGACATAGCCATCCTGATGTTAAGCGCCATAAGGATATGCGTGGCCTGGGAACATGGCAGTGGCCTCTCCTCTTTGGCCCAGGTACTGACTTCACCAGCTTGGCAAGTGGCCTTCATCTACCCTGAGCTGCCCAGAGGCTGTACCATCAGGCTTGGCAGCCCAGCGGGAGATGTAGGGTGTAGTTAATGAGACAAAGCATCCATGCCAGATCTAGGGCCATTAGTCCTCCTAAGGTTAAAGGTTTCCTCCTAAGGCCCTTGGTATAATATCATGAGCCCATATGTCGCATCACCCTGAAAGGTTAGAGGAGAGCACACATATCATCATCCCGCCCCCAGTGTGATGAAGGCGTCCCCACGCTCACAAAGTCCAGCTCTAGGGAACCGTGTGCCTTGCCTCAGAGTCGAGACAGATCAGGGTGAGGTCAGCCACCTGTGAGCCTTTCTGGGAGAAATGACCCATTTGAGCTGGAACCACAACAGTAGTGTAATTTAAGATGCAGTCATTGTGTCAGATACAAATGAAAAGACTTAAGACACACACAAGGAAGCTCTTGTTATGTCTCCCTCCATGTCCCACCCTCACCCCACCCCACCCCACCCCACCCAGTGGGTTAATGCTGTGGCCAGCTTTCCGCTTTCCTCTGGCTCTGATCACCTGAGTATCTCTGTGGTTTGAATAAAATAAAGGGTGTGATTCCTCCCATGCTTGATCCTTGAAGGAGTGTCTTGTTGCGGTTGTCCTTGAAATGAATGGTGTCTCTTCAGATGAGATACAGTAGCTAGCTGTGCATGGAGGCTGTGTTCTTTGGGGAACTAAATTTGTGGTAGATTTGAAAAGTAATCCAGGGAAAAAGAAAAAAAGGAGGGAGGAGAAAGAATGGGACAGTCATTTGTTGTCTGCCCATGGTCTTGTTTCATTCTTGTGACAATTTGCATTTTACAGAGAAGGCGGTCAAGACCCAGAGTGGTTAAATGACTTGCCCAGGGTCACATGGATAGTATATGGTAGAGTTGGGGTTCAAGCACTCCTGGGTTTGAGCTGTTTCCACCACCTTCCACAGCCTCCTGAAGCTGGGGCTTGGCTGTAGAGTTTGCAGACCAAGTGAGGTGTCAAGTGTTTCTAGCAGGTTCTTGGAAGACAGGCATGCTACCTCTGAATGGGCACTCCAGGTGCCACTCAGGCCCATTTTAGTCCAGTAGTGGTGAGGTGGCCCGCCAGCCCCCTTGTTGTCTGGCTTCTCCCTCCAGTTGGTAGGATTTGCTGTGTCAAGCACAGTTAATCCTGTCTCGTCTAGACACACTGCTGAACACAGGACTCTGTGGCCTTAGTTTGGCCCATGGGTGCAGGGGATGGGTGGTATGTGCATATCAAGGGAGTATGTTTTCTGACCAAACTGTTCCTCTGGCCTTGCCAGGTTCCTAGCTTTGGGGTGACCTCTTGGTCAGAGGGAGTCTCCAGCCTAGAGAGACCAGCCCCACCTTCTCTGGGCAAATGTTATTTCCAAAAGCAGTGTCTTCATTTGTGATTTTGCCCAAGGTACCAAGCCACTGCACTCCCTACCCCAGACCACCCTGGTCCCTTGGTCTTAGGGGAATAGTCCAATTCAGAGTTGCCAGTGCAGGCGAGGGGTTGCAGTCTAGTGAGAAGATGGTCACTAGATCCCTGCTCTGTGTCAGACATTGTCTCTGACAGTCCTCCCACTGTCCCTCTGAGCTTGGCATGACTGCTTCCTCTGCATTGTTTTATCCATTTCTCCTGAAAGATGGTCTGTGGGATCAGGATGCCTGGTGTGGCCTTTATGCGGTGAGGACAAGGGCTGCTGGCTGCAGAGTGAGTTGCTGTTGCTGGAGGCATTCAGGCATATCTGCTTGGTCAGTTGGTGGGATTTGCTGTTAAGCAGTGCTTCCCAAAGTGTGTTTGCCAGGTCAGCCACATCAGCGTTACCTTGGAACTTGTTAGAAATGCACATTCTCAGGCCTCATTCCAGGCCCAAGGAATCAGGAACTCTGCGAGCAGGACCCAGCAATGTGTGTTAATGAGCCCTCCAGGGGATTCTGATGCATGCACTGTTGCAAGAGATGTGCTCACCAGTCACCTGGGCATCTTGTTAAAAGGCAGGGCTTGCTTGAGTAGGTTCGGGGTGGGGCCTGAGAATCTGCATTTTGAGCAAGCCCCTGGGTAACGTCGATGATGTTGGTCTGTGGACCACACTTGGTGTGTAACGAGGGATGAGAGGAAACTGGAGGATTCCTTTTCATTCTGGGGTCTGCTTCCTGAGCTGCAGGGTTGGAGTGAGGGGTGGGGAGAGTGGAATTTCTCATTCCTGCCCTGGAGGGATGGGGCTCCCTGTGTCTTCAGGCCCTCCATTCCCTGGGGGATTTGGCAGGAGCAGGGACTGCAGCACTGTTTGGGCTTTTTGCTGGGGCTGCTCACGCGGCCGCTGCTCTTCTGCACGGCTATCTCCCCCTGGGTTCTGCCTGACTTGCCGCAGTTGCTTCTGCTTCTGCAGCCCTCCACCCCTCCTCCCGTGCTCCCGCTCTCCCCTCCCTTTATATCCTCCCCCCCCCCCCCCCCGCCCCCTCCTCCCCCCCCCTTTATTCCCCCCCCCCCCCCCCGGAATTCTGCATGTACGG